TGGAACAGGCTGCCCAGGGAAGTGGTTGAGTCACCATCCCTGGAGGTATTTAAAAGGCGGGTAGATGAGGCGCTTAGGGACATGGTTTAGTGGGCATGGTGGTGTTGGGTTGACAGTTGGACTCGATGATCTTAGAGGTCTCTTCCAACCTTGATGATTCTATATTCTGCTGTCCTTGCTTGGCCTTTCTTCCCCTGTGGCTGGGATGCAGCAGTTCAGAAGTCCTCAGTGGGGACCATAAAGAGACAAAAGTGCATGTGCTTCCATGTTAATTTTCTCATGCATAAGTGTTTAAGGCATGTGCATGTACCTTAGAATGGAAATAGGAAAATGCACCATCAAAAACTCCAGTTACTGATAAGAATAAACTTTCAGTCAGAGCAAGTTTTCTGAATTGTGTGGTAAACACTGTGCCGGGCAATTAACTGCTTGGCTCACCTGTACTATCTGTTACCTGCACTGAATGAGGAAGAACTCTATAGAAAAAGTTACGTGACTAAATGTAATTTAAGATTGACCATGAAGGTGCAATAGGATAAAATCTTAATTCTGGGATTTCCTAACTTTGGAGCACCTTACTTTTTTCCATGACTTTTTGAAAATGTTTTGTGTGCAATAGCTAATCACGCACCATTACTGCTGATCAAGACAGGTTCTGTAGTAAGCTCTGATAATTTATTGCTAGGAGTTAGGTATTTAAACCTGTAAACTCCCTCACTCAGAGCCATTTGAAAACAGTGAGGAAAGGGATGTCAGCTTAGCATGTCTGTAGCTTGAAGTATGTGATCTGGTTCCATTAAAATTAATAGGGCAATCCACATACTTCAAGTTGCATTTGTGCTGAAGTGTCGGCAATTTATAAGATACTAGAGATGATAAAATTGTAAAGATGATGCAAGAGATGAAAACAACCCTGAAATGGCTTGATTCAGGTTGTGATATATTTTTCTCTTTTTTTATTGCTGTGTTCCACTGAGGTGCGCTTGCTTTTTTTCTTTAACCACTTGTTAGTTTTCCTTTGTTGTTTGCAGAAGCCTGGAAGAGCAAGAAACAATCCAAAGAAAGGCAGGAGAAGGAGAAAAATAATTTATTCTTTTAGTACAGCAATGTCCAGAGGCCTCACACAGGGTTGTAGTGGCAATGGGCTGCATTCTAGAGCATGTATCAAAACAGTCTGTGCCCCAAAGAGCTTTTAGGGTAATTTAAAAGGAAATGTGGTATGTGTACATAACTAAAGAGAGGAAGGTAGGTGCAGGTACCCCAGAGAAGACCAGATGGTTGCACAAATGAGCTGTGTGCATAGCTTGATTGCTCTGAGTCTTTTTTTTTTTTTTTTTTTAATGATTAGGAATAGATATCAGTGCCTTCCACACTCATTTGCAACTGCACAATAAATTAATCAGGAAACAGAGAAGGAACATGGAAACTACAGAGGAAAGGGGAGAGGTATTGTCAGCAAACTGAAGAAGCCAGAAATGCAGTAAGATGGGAGACAAAGCAAGGGGCAAAAACTTAAAAAACTGGACATTGAACTTCAATGTATTTATCAGAATGGGATTATTTTGCTCTAAGTTCATTGACCTTAAAAGGAAAAAAATACAATAGAATGGTGTTGGTTGTAAGCCAAAACCAATTTTTTCCACCTGTCTAGAAAGGTGTTTTCTAAATACATCCCTGTAAGGCTTTGTCACGACCTACTTCAAAACTCAGGAACAAGTATTATTTTCTAGGAGCTTTTGTGGGTTGGAGTTCACAGCTGGGCCATATTTTTTATACAGCAGCTTGGAGCTATGTTCCTGCCAAGGGCACACTAAACTGGAAGGAAAAAGACGTCTTTTTTTTTTTTTTTTTTTTGAAAAAAATATAAAGGTAAATCTTTGGGCAAATATCACAGTTGATGCCAGTGCTTCTTAAATAGTAGAAACCCCAAAGTTTTTCCCCTCCTTTCTTATCATGGAAGGCAGGTATGCAGATATTTGATCCACTGTGGGTCAGCATGAGAAGAAATAGGTGGATGAAGCTGGAGAAAGGCTAAGGTAAACCAAATATAAAGGGGACGGCTCCTGTCAGTATGGTGTTTTGCAGTGGAAAATACTGCACTAGCGGAAACATTTATCTTTCATTTGGTGGAACATTGCATAGCACGCTACGGAAGACCATCTTTAATCAGGAGAGAGACACATAAGGGGCTCGTTTTTACTTCATGAAGGAACAAAGTACAGAAAAGTCCAGCCTAGTACGGGCCCAGAGACTAGGCCCAGAGGTACAGCACTGCAGGGCACTGGTCCCACGTGGGTGCACACAGCATAGCTCTGACTATCCTGTTTTTTGGGGTTGTGTGCCTTGCTGCTTCCCCTTCTGGAGGTAACGCAGGGCTAGTTTGAGCACTTGTGCAGTACTGGCTGCATAGACATGTGTGAGGGGACCTTCTCCACCTCTGTGCTGTCATTACAGACTCTTCGGTGATTCTCATTTGTTAACTCTTTCTGTACTGAGGTAGCAATAAGCAGACAAACAATAGGATAAATAGATTACTAAACTTGCTAGCAGTTTTTCAAATTTGGATTTGAAAGACCATCTACTCAGTGGATTCTCTCACATTGTAGAAACATAATACTTGGAGCCTACTGCTGTCTGGGAATCAGCATCTTTCCGTGACTGGCTGGTGCTGGAGCACAGGGCAGATGGGAAAACTTGAGTGATCTGGACTTAATATGAAAAGCATATATCTGAACCCAGAATTTAAATTACTGGTTCTTTTTCTTGTAGTCTCTGACCTTTTCCTTAATGTGCTTGTGATGGATTTTTTCTGATGGTTCTTACCCCCCTGGTTTTCAGATGGTGGGCAGGAGAATGGCAGAAATGTTCAACCACATGTGGCCCAACAGGCCAGAAGAAGCGAACTGTTCTTTGCATCCAGACGGTGGGATCTGATGAGCAGGCGCTGGCTGTCACAGAGTGCCAGCACCTGCTTAAACCAAAGACCCAACTGTCATGCAACAGAGATGTGTTGTGCCCGTCTGACTGGACAGTGAGCAACTGGACTGAGGTAAATTCATGTCAACTAATATTGAACATCTTTTTCAAAATGACCTATTATAGTCAGCAGAGAGGACCAATTACCTGCTTTTTTGCCTTTTTTAAAATTTTTTTTTTATTAACATGTCTTCACAAATCCTTTGTGCAGAAGAAGAAAAGCTGCCCTACTTGCTAAAGACCTAAGCAAATGTGTGTTAACTGTTTCTAGGGGTTTGGCTTGCTGAGCTTTTGGGACTGTAGAACAGAGCGTGCTTGTGTGCTAAAAATCTGCGTAATACTCATTACTGCTGTGGACCAGATGGGGGGAGGCTCTGTGTCATGTCTGTAGGCCTACAAAGAAGCATTTTTACATTCTTTACATTCATATCTCTTGCATTCATAACTCTGCTGTTTTTGCCACAGTATGCAAGCTTTTCACTTCTAGTATTAATCGGAAGCCCTAACAAACACTAGAACAACTGTGTATCCTTCAAGAGTTAATTAAATATTGTGCAGTTGTTTCACTGTCAGCTGATGAACTGCAGAATGTGAGGTCATCAAAATGATGACTGCAGCATACTAAATTGGTTTATACTGCAACTTATTCTGCAATGTTTGTTAGTATTAGTAGGGAGCACTCATTTGATGTGTTTTGTCATAGGTTGTAATCTGTGGAAGGACCTCACACTTTGTAGCTTTCTTTAGATTAGGATGCTGGTATCTACAGGTGTTTCACAACTTGAAGGCAAGGAATGTTCAGGGTCCCCAACATGTGGAGCAGTCTACTTCTCCATGAAAACTAAAAATGCACTAAGATATTTCTTCTGGAGTGGGGAGAAGTAGGTTTTGAGTCACATGACATTTTAAAATTATTTTATTCTGATTCTGTGCAACTTGCACATGGTTCACCTCACAAGTACGCAGTTTAGCTATCAGTGTAGCTGACAATCATGACAACATATGCACAACAAATATTTTCCATTTCAGGTGTCAATAAAAATGAAGTTTACTAAGTTTTTCGAAACTTCCAAGACCAATGATCTGGATGCAGGAGTTGAATGCACCATTAGCAAGTTTGTTGATGATACCAAACTGGGAGGTGCTCTTGACTCTCTTGAGGGACAAGAGGCCTTGCAGAGGGATCTAGATAGACTGGAGCACTGGGCAATCATCAATGGCATGAAATCTAACAAGAACAAACACCGGATTCTGCACCTGGGATGGAGTAATGCCGGGCACGAGTATAGATTGGGAGAGGAGTGGCTGGAGAGCAGCCCTGCAGAAAGGGATCTGGGGGTGCTGGT